TGCTGCTGAAATGGAAGGTTATGCTGTTTTTTCTTTAAAAAAGTAAGTAGGGCATGCCTGGGGAAGGCTAGATTGCTAGATTTCCATACTATCTTATTCTAAACTTAAGTCTGCAAGCTTATGTAGTGTGTTGTGTCTAAACATGCTGTTTTCATTTACTTAGTCTTGAGTGATAGTAATCTTGTTCCTAGTATTCATTTTAACAATATGTTTTGCATTTTTATCTCTTGCTATATATTTTTTCAGCCTTCAAGGTGAAAAAAGAAGTGTTTGTGGTAGAAAAATACAATACATGAAATGCTGCTTCTCTTCAGCCCAATTTAGGAAGTGGCATTGGGAAGTAGATAATGTCAATCAGTAATTAGTTGAGGCCTCACAACTAAGAAGATGGTGGGCTGTTATACTGAAAGTTATGGAGGTGATCCTTGATATGGAGAAGCCAACTGATAATGTAAACTAAGGTGGGCACTTGTTGTGGTTTTTGTGACAAATTTGTTAGGAATGGAGGGCAGCCGGAGCATGAAGCTCCTGCTATGCGCGTGTTGTGGGAAGGGATATGACCATGCATTCTTTACAAGAGGCTGTTTTCAAAAAACTGTTAGGAATGAGATAACTAATGTCAGTGGAGGTAATTTAGAAAATAAATATGTGATCATTAATATATTCATATCATATTCATTTATTCAGATGGATGTCAAATTTAATTGATTTTTCTTCTCGGTAGTTGTCATCCATATGCAGCATATCACATGCATATCACCAAATTTCTGATTGGTCAGGTGGCAGATATTTTAGTCTAGATTTGTCAAAAATACATAAAAAGAAAAACCCTTTTTCCGATTCCTGGATAGTGATATTCTGCTCCCTATAAGAAAAATATTGTATATGGATGTAGGTTCTCCAATATAGATAAAAGATCATGGGGGTTGCAAGCGTCAAGTGATTCTGACATAATATTGATATGGTCACATTTCAGGGCATAAATTTTATGAGTGGTTTCAAAGCATGTGGTTGCAAACATAAACTTCAGAATGATTAAACTTTTTCATCTTAAATTGTTAGCCCTATGATGTGATTTTCAAGTTATATCATGGTACATGTGTGTCAAACTCCTTTTACAATGATCATCAGGTAGCAATCACTTCTAGCATGTAGGTTTTCTCCTCCTTCATGAATTTTCAAAATTATTACTAGAATATACTAGTGAATTGGACATCTTAATTTTGAGATTTAATTTCTAGTCATTATTTATGGTTTAGTGCCATCAAAGATTATTGATTATTCCAAATGCAAGAAGGATAGAAACAAAGGAAAATGAATTTCCTCTACTCGTGACTTTTACTACTATAATCTATCAGTGGGAAATCAGGTATGTAATAAAACCAGAAGGAAGCAAGGTGGGAATAATATGTCAGTTCATTAGTATCAAAGAATGAAAACATGACTGCATATTTAAGGAAAAATGGAAAATCACAGTTTAGGATGCGTATAACAAACATATGCACGTGGCAATATCTTTTTGGTTAGAGAACTAAGGGTGTATATGGTCCGGATACGGCTTGGAAATGAAACTTATCATATTCTCTTCCAATCACTGATACAGATACAGATGTTCCTCAGTAAGGAAAATTCATATCTGTATCCGCTAATGAGGATATACATGCAAATACAAAATGGGTATGAGAAAACTAGATATTGAAAAAAATATAGTTCATATGATACAAGAGAGTTCATTAGTATGTACGTTATATCTAAAAATCTAATATTTGATATCTTGATTGTTGATGCTCGAGATCACACAATATAATCCAGAATAGGATGGTTGTGGCTGAGGAGTGATAGAAGATGATGAAGGGGTCTCTTCCTTTCCCGATTTTATGTCTGGCCACTGAGTGAGAGTTTGCAATCGGCACAAAAGAAGATCGTGAGAGGGCAGGGTAATGATTCCCCCGTCATACCTCAGACGATCAAGTTAGTTGATAAACTTGATCTTGAGTGGAGTAATAGAACTATGTGGTCTTATGCTATATGCATTAGAGATGATGATCTCTGAGACTTAGGTCAGAAGGAGAGTTTAGACTGCGAACCTCCTTTTTTTGGCTATGGCGAATAGCCTCTGCATATAAAGAGGATGCCAATGGAAGATTGGTCACTTCGGCCATGCAAATGACGGTGACAAAGTGTGAGTTGGAAGGTGAGTCATCCTTTGCTCTACATGTGTCGGCTGACGACGGGAGGAAGATCACTTCGGCCTCGATTTGAGGAGTGATCGATGGGGCGTTGGCTGATAAGCGACGTGATGACGCATGGTCTGAGTAGACATGATGTGACTTGTTGTCATAATGGATAAGCTTTGGCGAAGTTATCTTCTAGCTTCGCTGAGAAGCAATGTCCCTCATAATGGGACTTACGAGAAGAGTTGACTCATTGAGAGGAGTGACGACTCAAGGATCGCTAGCTGAATGGAGAATGGAGTAGGGTGACGACTCATCCCGCCTCTCGAGTCGACATGGAGGAGTATCGATTCGACTGGGCTGACTAGGCTCTTGGCGAGTTGCTTGCTGCGAGAGGGCCGACTGGTACCGTCTTTTGTGTCGACATTGATGAATGTCGGCTCGTCTGGTCGGCTGAGTCGGACTGCTAGCTGATCTCTCCCGTTGGTCGAGATGTTGACTCGTCTGGGAGGTTAGGATGGCTCGTGCCGATTAGCGCTATTTCTTATGTCGACACTGGGGTATCGGCTTGCCTGGCTGGTCGAGATATCGACTCATCAGATCATATATCTGAAAACAGTTGTACCTCATAACAGTTGGTCCCTTTAGCTAGGAGTCGGCCCTTAGCCGAGTCCAAGTGAAATGAATAAAGCTCTAGACTGAAGTTAGGACTGTTGGTTGCTTTGTAGCATTGTTCTGATTGAGCGAACCAAGTGGAAATTCTTGAGATGGTCGTGTTGTGTTGACCCGAATGTTACGAGTCGGCTTGACAACTGGCTCATATTGTGCCTACTGTGGGCAAGATACTCGAGTCTTGGGTCGACGAAGACTGGCAAGTTAAAGTGCTTTAAGTCTTTTTGCCGAAGATAATCGGGCAATCGAACTCCATGCCTTGGGTTTACTCATGATGATACCAAGGTCTTAATGGTAGAATGATGATTCTAAGGCTAGGTCTCATGTTGGACCTAAGTCTTCATAATCCTCGTATGACAGAAAGGTGACTGTGGGAATCGACCATAGAGTTGTGCCTTGGGCTTACCCTGAGAAGGAACCAAGGTCTTGATCATGATGATCGATGAGAGCCGGAGGAATCGACTATATGTTGTGCCTTAGGCTTACCCTGAAAAAGAACCAAGGGCTTTTGACACGTCAACCCGTAGGTTTGGTCGCCTAGGACTTATTTTGATGCTTAGGGCTTCACCATGATGATTGATGAGGATTAGAGGATCCAACCACATGTTGTGCATTGGGCTTACCCTGATAAAGAGCTAATGGCTTAAAATCCGACTGAGGAGTCGAATGCCTAGAACTACAAGGAGAGTTGACTAGGGCTTTCCCCATGGCCGAGAGACGACTGTGGGAGTCGGCCAAATGGTTATGCTTTGGGCTTATCCTGATGAAGAGCCAAGGGATTGCTCCAGAGCGCCTAAGGCATGGCTGAAGAGGACTCTGTGGCCCTGGTTGCCACCTTGTAGGCTCGGGTATCTCCCATGTCCATGTATCCATGGGTTCTGGCCATCAATTGCTCATAATTGACGACTAACTTCTTAGCCAAAGAATCGGCCAATGCATTGCTCTACAGGCCAGCTACGAGTGCTGACATGGCGACCACACTCCCTGGGTCGTCGACTTCCAACCTCTTAGTTTGGAATCTCTTGAAATAGGCCCGGAGGCTCTCTTATGGTCCCTACCTCATTTGGATGAGTACATGAGGGGTGAGTTTCTGCTTGGCGTCAGTTAGGAAATGGTGGATTGGAATTTTCGGCTAAGTTGTCGAAAGTTTCTGATGGATCTCTTCTCGAGAGTGTTCTACCAGAGCTTAGCACTCATTGAAAGAGTGATAGGAAAGCATCGACAGAGGATTGCTTCTGATGCTTGGAGCATACTCATCACATCATAATAATTCTGAACATGCTCAGAAGGTTCTCTCTCGCCCTTGTATGTCTCTACGCAAAGCATTTTGAATTTCTCACATGGGACATTCATAAGGTCGTCTGAAAGAGGGTGTTACTCCCGAAGATGCTTACGATCTGTCTGTTGACTCGATCGTAACCAGATGCTCTAATAGTAGCTGAGGGGACTGGAGAGGCACAGTGGCGGAGAGTCTTAGAGACTGCTTCTTACGGCTGTGGAAGCCGACTGAGAAGTTCATTGGAGAAAGCAACAAATTGCTCTTGGCAAGATTGAGAAATCGTATGAGTTGTTGCTTCAAGCTGGGTTTGAGTAGCATAGCTTTGATGAGGTCCTCTAAGACGAGATTGCTCAACTCTATCTTCAGATTTAGACATGTTCTTTCTAAAAAGAAAGAAGACCCTACGGTGGGCGTCAAAATGTTGATGCTCGATATCACATAATATAATCCAGAATAGGATGGTTGCGGCTGATGAGTGATAGAGGATGATGAAGGGGATCTCTTTCTTTCCCGACTTTATGTTTGGCCACTGAGTTAGAGTTTGCAATCTGCACAGAAGAAGGTCGTGAGAGGGCGGGGTGATGATTCCCCTGTGGTACCTCCGACGATCAAGTCAGTTGATAAATTTGAGCTTGAGTGGAATAATAAAACTATGTGTTCTTATTCTATGTACATTAGAGATGATGATCTCTGAGACTTAGGGCAGAAGGAGAGTTTAGATTGCGAACCTCCTTTTTTTGGCTATGGCGAATAGCCTTTGCATATAAAGAGGATGCCAATGGAAGATTGGTCACTTCAGCCATGCAAATGGCGATGACAAAGTGTGAGCCGAAAGATGAGTCATTCTTTGCTCTACATGTGTCGGCTGGCGACAGGAGAAAGATCACTTCGGCCTCGATTTGAGGAGCCATCGATGGGACGTGGGCTGATAAACGACGTGATGACGCATGGTCTATGAGTAGACATGATGTGACTTGTTGTTAGGATGGATATGCTTTGGCGAAGTTATCTTCTAGTTTCGCCGAGAAGCAATGTCCCTCATGATGGGACTTGCGAGAAGAGTTGACTCGTTGAGAGGAGTGACGACTCAAGGATCGCTGGCTGAATGGAGTCGGATCGATTGTCCCGCCTCTCGAGTCGACATGGAAGAGTATCGACTTGACTGGGTTAAATAGGCTCTTGGCGAGCTGCCTGCTGCGAGAGGGCCGACTGGTAATGCTTTTTGTATCAACATTGATGAATGTCGGCTCGTTTGTCGGCTGAGTCGGACTGCTAGCTGGTCTCTCCCGTCGGTCAAGATGTCGACTCGTCTAGGAGGTCAGGATGGCTCGTGCCGATTAGCGTTGTTTTTTGTGTCGACACTAGGGTGTCGGCTTGCCTGGCTGGTCGAGATATCGACTCTGGTCGAGATATCGACTCATCAGATCATATATCTAGAAACAGTTGTACCCCATAACATTGATCATCAAAATTATTCTCAAATCCATTAATCTAAGATTCTAAGGTTTAAAACTGTTGCAACAGTATGACCAATATATATTCAGATATCTCGGATACGGATCCACTTATTTCACTACATAACTATATCCATAGTCATATCCTATCGGATATAGATTTTAGTAACCATATCTGTATCCGTATCCTAACGGATACAGATATTAATATCATTGAATACGTATATTTTTGTTACACCCCTATAGAGGACAGTTTTGAGATTATGATGCTTAGTTCGCTGAACCGAAAAACCAACTATTATTAGTTCTCTCCGGAAAAAAATCCTAGAATGAAATACATAGAAGAAATCTATTTCTTCTCATCTATGCTACTTACGTGCCATATAAGATGTTAAGTTTTACTTTCTGGTGGAGGAGTGCAGTTGGCATAAACTGCTTCTATGCGAGATGATGCTAAAGCTCTATCAGGTACCGTTTGATAAAGGGTTAAGGAGACTTAACCCCTTCTTAACCGCCAAACACAAAATCTATACAAGGTTTAAAATGAGTTAGCACTCCATAATTTGCCAAACATAAAAAATATAGAAGGGTTAAGTTAACCCCTCTAGATTGATTAAAATGAGTTAACCCCTCAATATGAGGGGTTTACTAATATTCCTATTTAGAAGGATTAATAGTTAACCCTTCTAATTATAAAGAAAATAGTCAAAATCATTGTTATACCTAAACACTAAAATTGATCACAAGGACTAAAATAAAACTTATATAACGGGTTAATAATTTAATCATTCGGATTATCGAATGGGCTAACTACGTTAATCCTTCTCCTTAATCTCTCTTCATTAACCCTTTGTCAAACGGGGCCTCAAGGAACAAGTATTCTTAAGGATTCCAAATTTACTTTAATATAATTTTCAAAGAGCTTTTTTTTCCCGCCCTTTCTGGTTTAGCGGTTGAAGTTACGTTTTCTACTCAATGAGAGGTCAAGTTCTTTAGCTGTTTCTGAAATACTACTCAAACTTGAAGGCACTTGACTTTTAAAACTTTCTTGGAAATTTCTGCAATATCAGAATTGTTTCTATTGGCAGAGAATAAATTATAAAGTCTTTGCAGAAATTATGTCAAATTGGCTTGTAATTCTGTATTATATTATGGAACACAGAGATATTTATTGGTTACTTCTGAGTTTGTTTGTTCTTTCTACTATAGTTATGTCTGGATAATAGGCAGGTTTCTCCTTTGCACTTGATGTGGAACCCATCCATTGTGTCCTTTTATTGTAAACGGCTTAAGGCATTCCATTTGATGTTAAATAGGACATAAACTAGCACCAATATTAGTTGAAGGAAGAGGATGGTGACATGCTCAGTCTCATAGACTACACGTAAAAGTACAAATCTGAGTTGAAGGAAGAAGATGGTGACATGCTCAGTCTCATAGACTGTACTGCAAAGGTTACGCATCAAGTTGCTTTCAATAAAAAAATTCAGATCGGCATAAATATCATCTCTTGCTGCTTATTTAGGTCTTCAGTTTTTCAGAGGTTCTTGTGGAAATACTGATTTCCTTTTTGATGAGCCAAGAACGTTTCTTTCAGTTGAATTGTTCGGGTGCTTCAAAGATGTTTGCACTTATCTACATGAAACTTTCCTAGGGCTGAGCATATTCGGTTCGGTTCGGTTTTATGCCTAATCCGTATCCAATCCGAATTTTTTCGGATGCTCGAAACTCTCATCCAGATCCAGATTTTTCCCCCTTCATCCGAATATTAGGCCCAACCGAAATTCGGTTCGGTTTCGGTTTTGAATTTGCAAAGAGTTCTATCCAAAGACTTCTGTTGTGAATTTGCAAGCTGGGCATTGTCCTCATGATGAGGTTCCTGAGCTCGCCAACAAAGCTTTATTAGACTGGTTATCATCTTTAGAATAAAGTTTTGAGTTGATATAATTACGCAGAGAACTGATGTTTTAAAGATGTTGTTCATATAATACATCATGCTTATCTCTTGTAAGTATCATGTACATAACACATTTTGTGATTGATTTGACTCTTATGTAATTAATTCTCAAGATCTTTTCTGCGAAATTTTTTAACTAAAGTTTAAGTTTATTTAATTACACGGGGGAGTGATGTTTTGTATGATATTGTTCATATAGTGTCGCATATGCATCTTTTGTAAGTGCATCATGTGCATAACAAATTTTCTAGATTGATTTGAATCTTTACTTAGTTTTGTAAGTGCATCATGTGCATAACAAATTTTCTAGATTGATTTGAATCTTTACTTAGTTCTCAAGGATATTTTTCTGTGATATTGCTGTACTCATTGCTTGAAACTGCTCCTTGCGCCGTTTGAATCTATTGGATGATAACAGGAAAAGTTTTGAGGTATAAGTTTAGTCTCTAAACCGCCCAACAAAATTCGGGTCGGTTTTTTTTGGGCCGTTCAGGGGTTCAAACCGGATCCAAACCGATTTAATTCGGTTCGGGCGGTTTAGAAACTTCTTCTCATCCATTTAATTCGGTTCGGTTAACCGGTCCGTTTTTTCGGGCGGATTTTTTGGTTGAACCGGTTTTTTTTGGTTTTTGCCCACCCCTTTCCTACAGGTTTCCTGACTGGGTTGATCAATTTTATGTTTGGCATAACTTGGCTTGCTTTGGTCCCTGACACTGTATTAGATTAGGAGAAAGACTTTTCTCTTCCATCTTAAAGAGAATAGCATTCTTACTCATGATCAACGAATTTATGCTCGGCTGCATCTTTTGCACCAGCTTATTCTTGTTTCCACTAACTTACATTCATATTCTCATTATCTGCAGTATTTTGGACAAAGTTTCGTGCACGATGCCAGCAAAATGTCAATATCAGCACCACCATATGTTGATCCATATGAACTGCTCGAGGATGAAAGGATATCTCAGATAGCTCCTCAGTTTGATTAGACTAGTGCCTGAAATTCTCAAATAGACACAGGAAAAATTCTATGGGTAACTTTCTCGACAAAGGCCTGTAATATTTTTTCTCCTGGCTAAAATGTAATATTTTAAACTGACATAAATTGCGAGATACTAGTTCAACTGTATAGGAAATTTGTACAAATTTTCTTCTCATATCATTACACTTGAGGAGGAACAAAATCCTACCAAAAGTACCATTACATATAAATCTAACAAAAAATCCCAAATGACCACAGAACTGCCATCATGATCGAGTCTATCCAGCTTCAAATTCAGTACCCTCGCATTCTCTTGATTGTGGAAGCTAATAATTTATCACCGGCCACAGACCTGAGGCATCTGATGAAAGCATCTTTGCTCATTTTTCCTGCCTGAAAAAGTAAAGAAGATGCTATCAACTTTTTTTTCTAAGTTATTAATACAGAGGTTTCCAAAACAAGAACTTGTCGAGGTGCAGATGATATATACCTTATGTTTGTTATAAAGCATCTGTAAAGCTTGCGTACTGGAAGATGGCAGAGACCTTCCCATCTCAGACAGTAGCTTCTGAAAAGAGAGTCCCTGGGCTGCAGAAGGCCATCTCCTTGTCGTCATCGCCGTCGAGTTCACAGCCGCATGAATACCTGGCACAAAATTTTTATTAGAAAAAAATACAATATAATTTCAAAAGATGCAGGGAAATATAGTGATATAGAAAATTGTCGCCAATGTTAACAATTTGGATGAACGCTTTAAATGACCTTTGGAAATAGGAGATGGAAAAAAGGGGAATACAGAAGTAATATAAAGTATATAAGGACAAAATTTGCGGAAACATTTTGAAAAAAATAAATATTGACGATGGTTTTGTTAATAAAAAAAAAAGAAAGAAAGAGATCAAATTTCACGGTAGTTTGTTAGATGTATTCCTTGTTGTTGTAGACAGCTTACCACAAATGTATGCAAACACTGCAGGATGTCCACTTGTTCAAATTTCGATCCAATTTGAGGTGTTTGCATACATCGAAAAATGAGCAGAAACAAGTTTTGAGTTAGATTACCTTGACGTTGGGTTGATGGTTTAAAGCTGACAATGTACTCGGGGAGAATGTGGGTGTTCATGTGAGTGCTCCAAATTATGTACCATTTCGGATTCCTCAGATCGTCGACGCCGCTGTCGTATCCACCAGTGCTTGGGTGGTATTGAGCAGAACCTGCATCCACCCTCTCGGAGTTTCCCATGATGATTCGGCACAAGACGATGCGCTTCTCCCCGTTTTCATCTGCTTCAGATAGCCGCGAGCTGAAACCAAACAACATACGTTTAAGGACTCAATAGATGGAATTAATTGAGACTCACATAACAGACCCTTAAAAGTTCAAATTAGGATATAAATTATCTTTTTTTCTTTTTCTAGACGGTCACCCGTTATCTTTTGACATAATCCTGCGACTTGTTTTATATGAAAAAGGGTTATAGTTGGCTTTTTGTTTTTAGGTCCATTTGATATAATGCAATTCATGAGATACAAGTATAGCCATATAAAAAATAATATATATACAATCTAGAGAACATCAAATGATTTGAGTTCTCCTAACAGAAGGGTTAATTGCATATACTTTCTTGTTATAGTTGAATAACTAGCTGCTTATAAATGAGGATGATATTTTATTTGCCCATATATGTCTTGAGCCTCAAGCATTAGATCAAAGGTCAATTTGTAATATATTTTTTTAATAATCAAATTAAGGAAAAAGAGCAACTAATTTACTCTAAAAGATTAATAATTTCTTCTCATGCACTACTAACTAAAGTTTTGTTACACAAGCAAAATAACCGAACAATAAATTTGAAATGAACGAACTAAGATGGATTTTACCTGGCATAAGGAAAATGAGGTGGGGAGAGATGAACACCGACGCCGTGAGCATCCTCAGCCCCCAGAGCTCCATCATTAGTCCTCCCGACATCGTCCGCCGCCGCTCCATACCATCCGAACCCCAAATTCGCCTCCCCCCTCTCCTCCTTCGTCATCCCCGCCGTCATCTCAAACACCCTCGACCTCCTCCTCGAATACAAACACTTTCGAATCCCCGTAACCACGGCATCACGATCGCTGCTCCTCTTCATCCCATTCACGAACAATTTCTCAATCACTCTGTAGATCTTCTCCTCTTGCCTCAACACTATCACGTCGCTAATGCTCGAGACGTGCCGATCGACTGGGGATGTGGCGGGTGGCGGTGGCCTCGAGCTCCATCTCGTTGGTGCAGGTTGACGAGGTGATTGATTCCTCCTCCATCGATTTATCTCTTTCCAATAGAGAGAGAGAGAGGAGAGAAGTTGAACGAAGGGTCGAGAACGAAGAGGAGTGCTCGAGAGGCGTTTGAATTTGTGTTCTGCGTTTCTTGGTTATTTATATATGTATATACGCGACGCGAGGGGGGAAGAAGCGGTCGGAGTCGGTGGGCAATTAATGTTGCGGAAAGGGACATCGAGTTTGGGTAGAATTACGGATACGCCACCAAGTAGTCTTTTGCTTGGGGAGGGGTTCGGACAACTTTGAACCCCGTGTGTAGGGGTGTGCAATGGTCGGTTCGGTTCGGTTTTTTCCAAAATTTGAACAACCGAACCGAACCACTTATAATTCAAAACCGAACTGAATTGTTGCAAGTCGGTTCGGTGCGGTTCGGTTCGGTTTGTTCGGTTCTAACTTCATCAAACTTCTTATCAAACAACAAATTGTGTTAAAGAAAAAAAAGGTATCAACAAAGTAGGAGATTATGAAGTATTAAACACTGATATAATGATATTGTTTTCAACCCATAATGATTCAGAAAATTAGTTTAGGGTTTGAGTCTTTGACTCTTTGGGGACTTGTCGGGTAGGGTTTGAGATCAGAATGGGTAGTATTGCACTATATTCGGTCGGTTCGGGTCGGTTTGGGTTGAAAAGTTTTCAAACCGACCCGAACCGCCCTACTCATAAAACCGATTTTTTCGGGTCGATTCGGGTCGGTTCGGTCGGTTTTTTCGGTTTGGACCGAACCATGCTCAGCCCTACCCGTGTCGTGTGGGGACGCAAATTGGACGTAAGCCATCCTCTCCCTAATGCGCATCTATCTCTTAAAGCTTAATTATTATTATATATATGATAAATAACAGATGGACATTAGATAATTTGCAGTAAGTATCAAACTTGAACACGAGGACTAAAGTAAGGTGGCCGTAAGAAACTTGTACAAATTCAACTAATAAGTTATTTAATAATCATAATTTCAACAATTTATGGATATACATGTTGAAGGATACTTTGACTTGGCATTAAAGCAATCCAGTTTTAGCTCCGATTGGCTACAAAATTTAAAGTGAAATTTAAAAATAGGTAACAATGAAATAAGTATAGGTTTTCACCTAAAACAACCCTCAACCTGTACAAACATGTCGTAAATTATAACTCGTAACTCTTAGAGCATCAAAGAACTAAAATTGTAATCTTCAATTACGAACACCACCTTAAAATTTTGATGGTAACGTGCTTAGCTCAGCATAGACATTCAGAAGATATGAGCTCCTAGCTTCTTATGTTTGAAAGTAGATATGATTATATTAAAAGGAAAAATAATTTTCTTGATCTAAGACATTTTTCATATACGACAAACAAAATAATTACGTGACATTAATAAATATAAAAAATTGGCAATTACATGATTGGAGAGGGGGCATCATGGTCATAACATATGCATGGAATGAAATTCAGATTAAGCACGTCAGGGGCAATATGGTCAATTTCAACATTACGGCTAGCCGACTTCAAACCGCAAGCATGTTTACTTGGGCGACAGGCTTTACTATTTGCGGCGGTTTAGAGAGAGTCTTCGGGGTTAAGTTAACACAAGAGGAGAGAAAAAGATATATGCATACTATAAAGAGAAAGAGAGAGGTATACGACTTTATATCTACTAATACTAATATTATTCTCTCTCCAATTTACTTAATCTTTAAGTGATGTACAAAGGGCTAGGACAAAAAAAGAAACTTTGTAAACTCGCATACGAAGCAAGCAGTAGGAATATGACACATTTCACATAATTAATTTGGGATCCAATACCAGTTTATACGACATATCAATGCAAAATATATTCATAAAAACCGTTAAAAAATTATCGGCATAATCAGAATACTATATCAATATAAACACTAATATTTAGATAACACGTTATATTCTTATTGTCTTCATATATATATATGTGATTTTCTATTTTAGNTCAGTGTTCTTTGCTTTGGGGCAAAGCAAAGAACAAGGGAGGAGAAAAAGATTCTTTATGGGGTTTATTGTTTTTTCTAAAGTTTTATTTTATTTCGTGTGGGTTTGTGGAGTTTTAAGGTCAGACTTCCACCCAAATTGACCTTTGGACCCTCTCCTTTATCCTAGTTGTGATTCCTTTTTTGGATAGACAAATGAAGATATGCCTCCCACATGAACTGTTGGGGGTACTTTGGTCCCCTTTTCTAGTCTAAAGGATCCAATTCTTCCTTTATTTCCTAGCTTTGCTTTCCATTTTCCTTTCTTTTTGTTGGAAATTTTTTTTCCTTGTCTGCTTTGGTTCACCATTGGTAAGGAGTGCAAGGAGAAGAAATAATAAAAGGGACTGTACATGTACATGTGTCTATAGCCAAATGACCGTGCATCCTACCAGAGTAATTAGATGAGGAAACTAAAGCAGCTATGAGACCTACGCGCTAGCCAACTGCGCCACCACCCCTTTGTTAAATATGAGACCTTACAGATACTTGTATTGTATGCTCCTCCCTTACCTGCAGATGGGTTTTGTGCACAATACTCGCATTGAAGCTCCTCCCCCTGCAGATAAGGGAAGGGTGCACATGATTATCTGTAAGGATCCATATTGAGAAGAAGAAGCTTCTACTTGGAGATGATTCAAGAGATAAATTTTGAGGCTAAGCACAGTGGTTTGTGTGCAGGTTTTGATAAATATAGCTCGGTCTTGAGCGTTAGCTACAAGTTTTAGTTTGTTATCTCACTCTTACATATATATGTTCTTGAGATTCTTGATGTACAAAAACTTTACATATTGGTGATGAATAAAATTCTTTCATTTACCAAAAAAAAAGATGAGGAAACTAAACTAAAGCCGTAATTATCATGGCATTTAATTTAAAGTGATTAGCTAGCAACTTATAAATGCTTTGTCTTGGATTCTTCTTTGAGAAGTAAGTTTCTGTGGATTATCATTCTTTGAGTAGTGGTGGATTATCATTCTTTGAGTAGTGATGTTCGTAGGGGTTTCATGGATCGAAAGAAACTAATTGAATTTATAAGAATAATAATCTCTCTCTCTCTCTCCCTCTCTCTTTCTCTCTCTCTCTCTCCCTCTTTTCTTTTTTTTTCCAGAAGGGCGCTCCTTGTCTTTTACTTTATTCTTGTAATTTTTTGTAAGAAAAAACAGTGATTTGTAATTTATGAATAATCAGGAATAACTATTATTTACAGCTATAGACTGAGTGACGAGAATAAGAAAAACTTTTCTCGATATATAGAAGCTTCTTTAAAATGTTTTAGACTATGTTTGGCAACTCCAACTATCACTAATTAAAGAATAAAAAGGCAAGTTTTTTTCTTAGTTTGACAAATAAACTGGATTATTAAAAATTAAACTGGTCTTCTTAAGCCAATTTTCAGCTTTAAACATCATTTAGAAGCGGTCCACCTCTCCGGCCGGTACGGAACTGAGTAGTTTAGACTAAAACTAGTTTAGAAGGATGGTTATCTTGATTTTCTTCAGTTTTCCCCCCTTCCATAATGTAGCTTATATATGGACCTTTCTTTAAAAGAAATTAAGGGGATCGAGAAAAAGGAATCGTTTAACATATTCGTTTGGGACAAAAGTCCTCTTGATTTACTTCGAAAGGCCCGACCTTTGAGCCTATTTTCATCCGGTCTAACCTGCACGTGAGAGGACACAAGATACTTACTCGTTTAGTTTTTATATTCTGAAAGCAACTTCGAAGTTTTCAGTTCATTCAAACATCGTATTGGCCAAGTCTTTTAAGTTCTACTGTCTAGGGCTGTCCATTTTACCCGCGGGTCCGGCCCGGGCCCGGCCCGGCCCGGCCTCGGCCCGGAAAACCGGGCCGGGGTCGGGTGGCATCAGCGGCCGCCCGGCCCGGGGCCCGCCACCCGGCGCTTTGGGTACAGTGCGCCCCACCGGCCGTCAACGCCACGCGGCCCGGGCAACCCCGCGCACCGGGAGCCCGGCTCGGTGCAACGGTCACCAGTGGTGAGCGTTGCGGATTAGCGCGGGCGGGCCGGGCGGCCCGGGACGGCTGGCCACAACGGTCACCATTGGTGACCGTTGTGCTGAAACACGAACGGCCGGGCCGGCCCGGCCCGGCCCGGCCGTAACGGTCAGATTTGGCCTTTTGACCGTTTTGCCCCCAAAAACGGTCAAAAAACGGCTATTTTGTGAGGTTATTTTGGTCATTTACCTAGGGGGCTGGTTCTATAAATAGAGGGGGGTTTTCATTTGTTTTCTTCACACCAAAAACTCATCTCTTCTCTCTTATACTCTTATACTCTCTCTTATACTCTTATACTCTCTTATTTATACTTTCTAATCCAATCCCCAAATGGCTTCCGGATCTGATTATGAACAGCAAAACATATCTCCCGATCCTGAATTGAGTCCTCCTACTATGAGTCCTCCTACCGAAGTTAATCTCGAATCCAGTGGCGACGAATCTGCACCAAGAGCTCCTAAACGGCCAAGATCCGATGTGTGGAATTTTTACGAGAAGATCGACGTCACCAAGGATGAACACGGTAGGATCCTCACCCAGAAGGCTAAGTGTGCTTTGTGCGGCAAGATTTTTCAAGCTCATCATAAGAGCGGCACCAACCACCTCAAACGCCATTTAGATAAACACAACAAAGACCAGACTCCTCAAGGTGATATCCGACAATCTATGATTTCTCAATCCTCCTCTTCTGGTAATCTCGGTAGTTGGAACTATGACGCTGCCAGAGCCAGGAAATGCGTAATCAGGTTTATCATTCTTAAAAACCTTCCTTTTAAATTAGTAGAAGATGATGAATTTGAAGATATGTTT